AAATTAATCAATAATATCTAAACCAAACAGTCTTTTATATCATGACAAACACTCGTCAACTTTAATACACTAGGTAAGATTATTGAAACACTATCATAAACTTTAATACACTAGGTAAGATTATTGAAACACTATGATCAACTTTAATAAACTAGATTGAAGCACTCTATCAACAAACTTAGTGCCATTTAATAATTTATTTTTAAGAATGGGAAGTCTGCTAAAAAGTTAATTTTTGGTTCTTATGAAAAGTGAATCATCAGAAATGAACTGTTTGGTAACTATTAATATATATTTCGTAAAATTTTGTTATTCTTATAAATTTTATATTTTTAGTTTCATTTTTCTGTATTGGATTAATAACTTGGTACTGATTGTCTGCAACCATCTATTTTAAGTATTTAATCCAGCTTGTATACATTCTTTTTTTAGAGTTTGATATTCGTTTTAATCCGGATGTATACTCCCCTGGGGTTCAGCATCCTGAAACTGAGGTTTGTTTTTTAGCTTATTCTAGTAGATATATAAAACGTGTATGCTATCAGAATTTCAATACAGTTTTAAACCAATTTTTTGATATTTAAATGATATTTAAATGAATGTTGTGGAAACGCACCAAATACTTCATAAACTATTGAATAGAGAAGAATAGCAGGGCTGAAGTAAACTCGCATGTTTTTATTTTTCATAAATACTTTTGTAATTTGAGTAATCTTGGTGTTAGTTTTTAAACTAAATATTTTTTTTTTTAAGAAATATTGGTGTTTTAAATCGGTGTTTCTCAACCAGTGGGTTGCAGCCCAATTGCTTGAGATTAGATAACAGTATTTTAAAAAATGTTGCAAAAGAGCAAAAGTATAGTGCAAACTACATAATACCTTGCAAAATGCTAACTATAAATTAGTGTACTGTACATGAACCCAGCATAGCTACTATAGAACAAACACTGCCATACATGTCATACTTATATAACTTTCTACAGTGGGCCTGGTAAATTTCTTAAGTTTAGGTGCGCTGTGTTACTAAAAAGGTTGAGAAATGCTGTTTTAAATGAAATCCTTTATATGCAGACAAGTTTCTTTATTATTACAGAAAGAAAAACTTCGGAAGGAACGACAGCTAGTCAACGATGCTGCTGATTTCTTACTTACAGTCCAAATTCCTGGTTTTGTAAGTTTGTATAACAATTGAAATTAATGTAACTTGTGGTAGAAACTACTCTTATGTTATTTGTCATTTGTTTTGAGTGTTGTCGCACGATTATATAAGAGTTTTCTTTACTGTAATGATGCTTTCTTTTTTAGGCCTAAATGTAGTGTTTCCCGATACATGCCTTACTGCTCATAAGAATCATGTTGTCTGCTGTGGAGCTATTTGTTTTATTGTGGTTAATAACTGGGGCTGAAGCTATCCCAAAATATGCTTTAACCTCTCTGTAACCCCTGCAATCAATGTAAAGTGTCCACTGTTAAAGCTGGTTCACTTCTTAAATATTGCAGTATGTACACCAACTAGATGTAGAGTACAGACCCCTAAATTTTTGGTCTAGCCCATATCAGCCTGCTCACTGGGAAGATGCTGGTGCCACCTGTGATCTGTTGATCATTTTAGGTTGACCAACAATGTAATAAGATAATGTACATGTAGTAAAATGTTTTTTATAGCTCTCATATTCACTGAATTCTAAACTAATTTGTTGGGAATGTTTTAGTCAAATCAGTGTCCTACTGACTATTTTCAGGCTTGAATTTAATAAAGTAACTTAATGAATTCTAAAGACAGTTTTTTTTTATATAATTTATGCTGCATAAGTAGAAATATTGATCTATCACTCGGTGCTTCTTTTTTAATAATATTCGTTTGTTATACTTGTATGGACATAAAAGTTATTTATAGTTTACAGAAATGAGAAATAAATAAAACTTGACTAATGGCACATTTTTAAGTAATTCAGGAAATAAATGGAGAATCATGTAATAAGTTTGCTTTTAAAGTAAATGTATTTTTGATATCACATTTATTCCAGAGAAAAAATCTTAAAAGTGAAAAGATCATTTAAAATGCTGGTGCCCAACACTTAAAAGAACTAATGTCAGTAAAAACTTATTTGAGTTGATGAGTGTTCTAGTTTGTTTTTCTCACTAGATCAGGGACTGTTTAGAACATTCGGCTTCACCAATTGATGGGGTAACATTAACAGAGGCTTTGCATAGCAGGTAAGCATTACGTTCAATATATTCAAAGTTTAAATTGTATATTTTGCGCTATGGTAACCTATAATAAACTAACAAAAAATTGTAGAAAATAAATTTGAAATTTACATTTTTACAAGACATTTGATCCAAATTTATTTTTATTTTTGATAATTTTCATTTTTGAGATTTAGACGATGTTTATATTTGCAATGCTTTCTTATTTTTATCCTTCTAGACTTGTACTGTTTTGTGTATTAAAATGTTAAGAAAACTAATGGTCAAAATTAAAAAAAAAGAATACACCAAACATGCTTATTGGAATGAAATACCTTTTTTTTTTATATCATTTGCCACTTTTAGTTAAACTAAAATCTATAAATTGTAATTTAAAACAAATCTCATCCTGCTTTCCTTTTTTTTACAACTTGCAGGGGTATCAATATTCGGTATCTGGGCAAAATAGCAGAATTGTTGGCTAAGATTCCTGAACTGCAATATGTTTATGTGAGTCTTATATATACAATTTTTTTATGAAAGTAACATTTTTGAGATTTTTTTCATACTCCTACTGTAAGGTCTGGTATGTTTAGAATACTAGTAATAAAGTATAATTTTTGAAGTCAATAATTTGTAAAATTGATTTATGTAAAAAAGTATCATTTTTTTACCATAAAATTGGAAATTCAATCATTTAAAAGACAAAGGATTATGCTTTTTAAAATATAGCTTGGTTAACGTGTGAAACTTGTATTGAGAAATTATATATATGTTATAATGTATACCTCGGTCATTGACAAAACTCTGCCCTTCTTCCTCAGGCAATTACGGTTCAAGAGCTCATCTCCCGAGCAGCTAAACATCAATTTACAATGTATCTACAGTGTGTAGAGATGATGAGTCTTGCAGCAGCAATAAGCCACTTCTTAAATTGTTTTCTGTCATCTTGTCTGACTCTTCCAACTCCAGTTGGTGCTGAAGAGGTTGGATGCATATCTTTTTTTTTCTTTTATGTCATATTTGATAATGTTAAAGTTTAAGTGGAAAATCATATATTTAACTGGTTCTGTATGAAAATCCACATGACAAAGTGCTGTAAAGGATATCATATTAAGAAGTTTTTATTGATGTGTGTGTGTTTATTCCTTTTATTGTTTTATAAATGTGAGAAAAGGATAACTGAACTTTTAGGCTTTTGCTTTAACAATATAATTCTGAGTAAATGCAATAGAAAGGATAGTTTTAAGAGATATGGAATTTGGAGTATTTATCTGAGTAATTCTGTTATCAAAGGTTTTTAGCTGCTTGTATGCAGTACATCTATTTCATAAGGGGAGGGGGGGGAGAATGTTGTAGTTAAACCAGACACTGTGATCAAAATTGCATTCATTTTTCTTTCAGCTTCAGATCAGAACATCAAGAAGAAAAGGAAAGCGAAAGAACAAGCAGAATCCACTTCTTATTCAAGGTATATTTTGCTTATGGATTAAGAAATATATATAAATAAGAAAAGTGAAATTTCAGAAGAATGGTCTTTCAGTGTGATTTAAAAAAAAAGAAACGAAAAAAAGAAGAAAAAAAACTTATTTTTGAAGGGCATATTCTATGAGTAGTCCCAAATGAAATAATTTCTATAAGTTAATTATGAATAGAATTTTGAACATGAGACAGTAAAATGTGTTTGGTGCTGGTATATCTGGAGTGTGTTGAGAATATTACAAGTATAAAACAGTTTGATCAGAAATTGGGGATTATGTCTATAAAATTAGTCTATAAATTAATTATAAGGAAAAACATGAACATAGTTATATGAAGCAGTTTATCCTAAATAGCTTAAAGCTCATAACAGTCTACATCTGTTTAGACTTAATTTTATTGTTTTATTGACATTTGAACCTAGTGTAGTAATCCCTTCACGCAAGTTGCAAATCAGTCAGTGAATGTGTAGCTCACGTTACCGCATTGAATGACGTAATGCATGAACTGCTCAAGTGTGAAAGTTTTTATTATCTACTTTAACCTAATAAGTTTCTAATTTTTAGTTTTGGTTATTTTTATTATAATAATAAAGAATAGATAAAAAAAAACAAATATAATACTTATCTGGTTGTTTTGTTTACTGTCAACTGTCAATGAAACTTGAGCCTACTTTTTATACTAATTGTTGGTACTACTACTACTACTACTACTACTACTACTACTACTACTACTACTACTACTACTACTACTATCGTTATTTTTCCGCATTTCTAACTATGTGATAAAAGCTGTTAAAAATTTAGCTAAGCTCACAGATATCTTTCCCTTGGGAATAAAGTTTGAACTGAAAGTGAAATAGACAATTCTCTGTAGAGAAAACAAAGTAATGTAAAACTTCATTTCATAGATTAAAATTCTGGCTTTTTACTAGTTCTAAATAATATTAAAATATCAAAGAGAACAAGATACAATTGATGAAAGAGAGGATGTTACAGGTGGGCATGACAGGATGGGTTTGATTTTCTAGTTTATAGCTCCATAAACAAATAAGATTGAAAGCTATGAAAGTTTTGCTTTGCCTGAGGAATAACTATATTACAATGACTAATTTATGTTAATTTCCATACTTCTTAGAGGGGTGGTAAATAAATTAGAGAAGAGGGAAGATCTGGAGAGCAAATGTCACAATTCTTATATTGTGGTGAAATTGAGGATTTTTAAAATATTTCTTTATAAAAGTAAGAACTTAAAACTTGTATTAAAATTTGATTTATTAATTTTGTTATCATTACAAGTTTATTTGTAAGCCACTTCTAGAAACACCTAGAACCTCTTACTGTAGAAAGTTTAAATGATATGAAGTTAATAATTACTTACTAGACTAATAGATTGCTTCCTGGTCTTGTATAGATAACAATGAATGGGCTACACTGACTCCTCGTTCCTTCTGGAGTAGCCTAAAAGCAGAACTTTTATCGTACTACAACTGGACACTTGAGATGGAGTCTGTAGATGCATTTGTTGAACACTATGGCATCCAGAAAGTCTCGCTTCTTCGTTCCTTCTGCATGAAAACTGGTATCCAGATTCTTTTGAAGGAGTACAACTTAGATAATCGTGGTCGATCAGCATTCACTGAAGATGATATTTTGAATGTGTTTCCTGTGGTTAAGCATATCAATCCAAGGGTAGGAATATTGTAGTTAGTCTCAGGGAATTTATTTGACAAGTTTTTTTTTTTTCTACAGCATATAAAGTATGTGATAACCTGAAGAAAATGTGTATTGTGTTCTCAGATAAATTATTTCCATCAGAGATTAGAAACTAAACTTTCTGTCATCTTCACAAGTCCTTATCTGAAGTTAAAAACAAAACCAAATAACACATTTTGTCATATTTGTACAAAATTATCATCATCCTGGGTCACAAACTTGAATTAATTTTTTTCTTGTATTCATAACCATCGAAGATCATTTAGCTTCTTCATAGATCATCATCTGATAAATCTTGTTGCTTGAAAAAAAATCGTTAAATAATAAAAACTCTTAAAAGAGTCAGTTTATTATATGTATTAAAAAACAGTTGACTGATAATTGAAATATAAATAATCATTGATATCTTTATTCTTCAAGTTGTTTTTCACTGCCGAAATGAAGCTTGAACAGTTGGGAAGTATAAAAAGTAGTTAGAAGTATATTTTTTGGTTTATCTTAAGCACAACTGTTTGACTCTTGTTGAATGTTTCAGGCTACAGATGCTTACAACTTTTGCACAACAGGCCAGAACAAGATCCAGCAGGGATTCTTGAAAGAAGGATACGAGTTAATCAGTGAAGCTCTAAACCTACTTAATAACGTTTATGGGGCCATGCACCCAGAAATAGCACAGTGCCTTAGAATGCTAGCCAGACTTAATTATATTATGGGGGACCACACAGAGGTGAGTACTTGGCTTTTATTGGGTTAGCAAGAGTTTAATTATTACTGACATCTGTTTTTCAAGCTGTATTTATCCAGTACGCTTTTTAAATATTGAAAGAGTTTAATAGTAGTTTCTGTGATAACAAAACCATTGAAAAAGATTTTCTCATTAAAAAGATATGAAGCAGGATTATTTCAAGAGGTCTGAAATTGAAATGTTGAACCAGTGTCAATAGAATAAAAATTGATATTGGGTAATTTTGTATTTCACTGATAAACTATAATGATAAATATATATAAATCCTTACTGTTAAATTTCTGGCCAACTTTTTAAGTTTCCAAAATATATATAAAATGAGATAATGAAAAATAAGCTAATTTTTCTTTCTTCTAAATATATGATGATAAATACAAATATTGTTAAAGTTTTAATTGTATAGATAATTATAAGTAAAACGTTTTTGTAGGCAATGGCATACCAACAAAAAGCTGTCCTAATGAGTGAAAGAGTGAATGGCATTGACCATCCTTATACTATTACTGAATATGTAAGTTCATTGTTTGTATATGGTTTCTTGCTTATAAAGGTTATCGATGTACTATTTACTACTATTAAAAGTGGAATAGAATGTATAATATGAATTCTTCTAATATGAGTTTCTTCTCTGGTAGCATTACAGAAGTTGTATATTAGTTGTATTAACAGTTATTAAAGTTTAATAATAATTCTTTAGCAGTCTAAAGGAGAGAAACTTGAAGATTGGGTATGTGTAAATTTTCAGTTCTTGCTGAGTCACGAATATATTGTATTACATTAAGAAGCCTTCCGAGGGTCGCGGGTTCGAATCCCTGTCACACCAAACATGCTCGCACTTTCAGCCGTAAAATCCCTACATTTTCTGAGGGGCCTGTTGGAAGGCTTGTTTGTTTGTTTGAATTTCGCGCAAAGCTACACGAGGGCTATCTGCGCTAGCCGTCCCTAATTTAGCAGTGTAAGACTAGAGGAAAGGCAACTAGTCATCACCACCCACCGCCAACTCTTGGGCTACTCTTTTACTAACGAATAGTGGGATTGACCGTCACATTATAACGCCCCCAGTAGGGCAAAATTTTCAAAAAGTAGGGCCTTTAGTAGGGAAAAATAGGTATAATTTAGATTTTGCAGAAGACTTACCAGCATATTTTTATATAATTACATACTTTGCCATTGTCATCCAAAGCAGGACTTTGAAATAACTAGAAGTCTAAGTGACTGTATTAGACAAGCACGAACTAGCAGAAAGTGTACTGCTGTTGGATTTGTTTTCATTCTACATTCTGTAGGATGGTTTTCACTGATTCCAACGAAAACTTCACCTTAGTTAGTTATCTTCCCATGTTTCAACAAAAGGAACAATGAAATTGGTCATTTGGCAATGGCTGACACCAACATGAAAGTTCGTGACCATTATTGTCTACATAGGTTAAAAGTTTGTTCTGGAATCATGTTTTTCTTTGTATCATTTTAGTTTACAACATTACCATGAAAGTGGAAAACTTGTTAAAAAGGCTGTCTCAAGCATCACTGCCATGAACATGTATTGAACAAGCAACACAACACCAAGTGCATATATATGTTAGATTAGCATAAAAATACTAATGTCTTTAAAACTATCAGGCTCTAGCTATTTCAGGATATGACTGACATACGTGTACATTTTCACACACACAAAAATCAAGCAATGAATAGCTAAAGCTTATGCAGACTAAAAATATATTGAGTTAAATGATCATTTGATGATCCCACAGTAAATGATCATTTGATGATCCCTCAGTTATTCTTCACTGGGTTAGAGGTTATGTTCATTCTAAAGTTCCTTACCAGAAAGCAGAGCAGACAGTTTGATCATCTTTGAGTATTTGCCTGTGATGCCACCATGTAGTTGCATCTTGTGCAAACCACTGGTCTGAAACACTATCTTAAGTTAACAAAGAGGGCAGTTAGACTATACTTACTATTTGACTTTGTATTTTTGCGACAACTTTTGTATTTCATGTTGAGCTAAACCAATTATGTGGTTAAAAAGTAGAAGAACAAAAGTGTGATTGGAGCCCTACGTTAAATAACTATCATAATTACAATTTGTAAAAGGCCTAAAATAGTATTTAATCTAATGATTGGACCAACATTATATAAATCTTTTCTTATTAAAGAAAAACTTACTAATTTCTAAAGATCACTTAAAGGATCTTTAGGCATTACTTCAACTAAAACTGTTCTGATTTGTATGTTAACAAATAAACATCAAGCTATGTTTTTTGTCTTTTAATGTCTACTAGTGTATTGTTTTCCAATAACCCCTAATGGAGAAAAGTCCACCTTTCAAAAGTCCTTAGGTTGTTGACTTCGTTTAGATACTAACATTTTTCATGTTAATTCTGTGTGTTGTGGAATGTCATGAGTGTTCTGTTTTCAGGTTACTTTTTTTTTGTAAATGTATGATATTATTTTGTTTCATAAGAAAAATTGTTTCATTTATCTTAACTTATTTTGTAATGTGTATATAACTATATTTGACTTCTCATTTCTTTTCACTATTATCAAATATTATTGGTATTTTGTCTCAGCTGTACTAAGACTTCTTAACACAACTTGTTTTCAAACTTTTGTTGGTGATAGAATAGGCATATTCTGAAACTATTAACATGTAAGTAAAACCTTTTTTTTTCCTCTAACAGACTCACCTAGCTCTCTACTGCTTTGCTAATTCCCAAGTGAGCACTGCTTTAAAACTGCTATATCGTGCTCGATATCTGGCTCTGCTGGTTTGTGGCGAAAACCACCCAGAAGTTGCAGTATTGGATGTAAGTTTTGGTTTTATGGATATGTTGGGGTTTGCTTTTATTTATGGCTTACTTCAGAGAAAGCATTGAATATGTTCAACTTCAATAACATTTAAATGAACAAAAACAAACCCAAACAAAATTAAATTAAAGATGTTGACTAAATAATAGATATAAAATGTGCCCTGGGTTTTGGAGGTATTTGCGGAAGTAGGACCCACATTGTTTAAACAATTTGGCATTAGTTTTATGTGGATGAACACCTTACTACATATAAAGGCTTGTGTAAAGTCCCTGAAAATTGGGAGTTACAGTGAACTTAATGGGTGGTGGTTGGAAGTTATACTAGTTGGTTGGGCTTTTATAACTCTATACTTGTATAATAATTTATTAATGTACTACCAATTAAGTTAAATTAGTGCTTTACTATTATAATTGGGGCTGGAATACCAACCTCAAAAGGTAAGTTTATCTTAGTTACCCCCAAATGGCAATACTTTTTTTTTCCTTTTTTGCTTTCTTTTACTTTGGAGAGCAGTCACCACAACTGTCTGCAGACAGTGAAGTGTGATATAGATGTGGGACGTTGTGGCCTAGACCACCCACATCTTGCTCTCCTAACTTCATGTGAGACGAGAATGGAGATTAAGACTGATAGATGGTGTACCTCCACCACAATGTGGGTCCTACTTCCAAAACTCGGGCACATTTTATATCACATATTATAGCATGTACCCTGGGGATCCTTTTAATTTATGCAGCATCTTTAATTTAATTTTGTTTGGGCTTGTGTTTGTTCATTTAAATGTCATTTATCACAGGTTTGGATTTGCTGTTTTTAACGCAGTCCTTCCTTTTGATTTTATTTTGCTTGACTTTTTAAGTATTAATTTTCTATTCAACTTCGATAATATTAACAGGAGATTTAAGTATCGTTTTTAAAGAAGTAAACCATTGTGACAGAAGAGTGGTTGTCTCGTGCTATTAATCAAAATGTTAAAAATGCTTTAAAATATTAAAGTTGAATTTGACGTATAGGTATTAGTAGTCACTTGTTACAAGAGTGGTGAGAGTTTTGGAAAATTAATCACAGCTTTAATTAGAACTTTGGAAAACGTATTTTAAACTTGCATACAAGTTGTATTCTGTATTAGACCATAAGTATTAATCTCTTAAAAATGAATATTTTCATTTTTGGATAGGTTAGATTTTGTGTGTGTGTGACAGAATGCATGTGAGGATTACTTATCACATTTAGAATACTGACATTGTAATCTTGTTTCAGAGCAATATTGGTCTCATACTTCATGCTGTGGGAGAGTATGATCTTTCATTGAGATTTCTGGAAAATGCACTTAAATTAAATAGCAAGTAAGTAGTAGATGTATTGAGAGGTTGATAATACCGTTGTGGTGTGATGAGACTGTGGGATCATGAAGTTTACTTTAAAGCTGTAGTAATCAGATTTGTAGGCTTAGAAATTAAAGCTTAGTAACTCTTTCAATTCAGGCTTGGTCCCTGGGACCGACCTTGTAACCATTTTGTGCTTGTTATAGATTTCATGCTATTACTTTTTAAAGTAGTAAGCAAATGTTGACGAAATTTGGCAGTTTATCAGTAAACATTACAATGCTTTCATACACAAAATATCTAATTTTTTTATTAAGTCTTGAGGTTTATAAAGCAATGTTTCTCTCATGTCCTTTTTGTTTTCACATGTTGCCTATCTATCATGCAAAGTAATTTTCATCTTAACATTAGAAATACTTTTATGCATCAGAATATTTTTAAATTTCACATACAAAATTTTTATAATGTCCAGATATTTATCAAATGTTTCTTAAGAAGAAACTTTATATTTTATCTGTTATTTTCAGTGATTAATCTCTATACGGGTTTGGTAAGTTTGACCGATCTCGCAATCACTATAAGAAATTAGGAAATAAACATAAATTATGCATCTTTTATTCTAAAATGAACACAAATTATAACACAAAAACATAAATGTTTAGATGAAATAGCTTAAATCTCATAACATTATACATTTATATATATATTTATTATATTGACATTTCAGCCATGCCTGACTAACAATACAGAAGTTATAATGACGTGGCTCACGTTCAATCACGTTACTGTATCAAATAACATCAAGGTGACCTTTGGTCTGTACAAAGTAACTTGTCTTGGCTGAGTTTTAGTCAACTAGTATTTTGTAAAATACAGTCACATTTCAATTATTATACATTATATATATATATAT